TGTTGCATCAAATATTCTCATTTTTTATGTCTCAGATGTTTTTCTCTGCTCCAGAAGCATTATCGAAAGCAGATGCTGTTTAAATTTGTTCACCAGATTGTTTGAAGTGTTTGGACAGCAGAAGATATGTCTCACTACCTTGGGATGTTCTGTTTACTATCTGCTCGAGCTTTCGGATGCAAAAAGGAGAACAAGGAGCTTTGAGATTGCACTTTATTGATCTTAGATGGTTTAAAATGTGGTAAAAATTTACTGATCTTGGATAGTAAAGAACCTAAATATAAATAAATGGTGGTGGTAACTAAAAAGCAGAAGAGCAAGAAACTTACCCGGGAGTCCAAAGGATCAGCCTCGCGAGAAACAAGATGCTGTAAGCTAACAATCACATTAGAAGCTGCCAAAATGGGGTCAATAGAATGCTGAGGAAGAGCAGCATGACCTCCCCTTCCACTTATTACTGCTTCAAAGAAGCCACTGCCAGCCATAAAAGGACCAGATCTAGAGCCCACTTCACCTATAGGTATGTTTGGCATAACATGCAATCCAAAGATAGCAGCGACATTTTCTAAGGCTCCAGCAGCTAGCATTTTCTTAGCTCCCGCACCTCCTTCCTCTGCTGGTTGGAAAACAAGAACTACAGTTCCCTATTTAGAGTTTAGAAGACAAAAAATGAAAGATAACAGATATCATTGAGTGGAAGAAACACAGAACAATACAATTGAAGAGATGTAGACCACATGATTGACTGTCCTGTGAAACATTTATTCTTTTCCGGTAGTACTTAAATACTGAACACCACCGTCAAACATATTTCTTAACAAATTTTTAGGAACTGAAATTTGAGACTAAGTTACATGACCTTTTACCGGGAGAAAATGATAACAAATTGCCCGAAGTAAAGAAAATGAAGGTTTAGTGAATTAGACTCTGGCACAATGAAGTGTAGTGACCTCGCTTTCAAATATCGTAAAAGCAATATTTCAATGTTCTAAACCAAAATAGAGCAAAATAGACCTGTATGTCTTTTTCACGCTGTTTGAGTATCTTTGCGGCACCGAGAAGCATAGTAACATGAGCATCATGGCCACAAGCTGCATCTTTCCAGGAACTTTACTCTTGTGCTCCCACTCCACCATTTCCTAAAGGACTCGGGCAACAACAAAATTAATCAATACAAAAATACACATATAGAGAGCACTCTAACCATTTGGCCTCTCCATTATTAGATCAATTTAAGTAGACCAGCAAAGCAGTCTTTTTGGAATCACCAAATTACTTAAAAAAAGGACCAATATTCGGTTATCATTTTCAGAGACCAACTTATACTGTCAGACTGAAGTTAAACAGTCTAATGATTTACGGAACAAATTGCTAGTGTGTGTGTGTGTGTGTGTGAAAACACAAAAAATGAAATCTATGATGAAATTTGAGAGGAGGCGAAGAAATTTTAGCTTCTCCTAGTCGCAAGCTATGAATTAACATCATGCAAATCCATCTAAAAGGCGATTGACCATTATATATTGAATTGATGGAGTGGGAGTAGGAGAGTTTATAAAGAATTCAAGTACTTGAATAGGAAGAGCATCGATATCAGCTCTTATAGCAACAAAAGGAGGTCGTCCAGTGCCTATATAGCCAACAACACCGGTCACTGCAATTGGTATTTATATGATACGCCCAATGTATCCAGCTCTCTTCTGATCAGCTCACTGGTCTGAAATTCCTCATAAAGCAATTCAGGATTCTCGTGAAGTTTCCTTCTGATTCCGACCATCCAATCAAAAACCTCACGCTTCTTGGCAAGATTTAAAAATTCGGAGGACGTGGGAGAGAGTTTGTTTGAGCTCAAAGAAGTGTCCGAGGAGATGAGTGTTGCAGCAAGGAGATGGCAGATGATTATCATGCTGAGCCACCAGGAGAAACCCATAGTCGCTTTGCGTGTGAAAATGTGGGAAAGAAGTTCAGAAGAGGATAATAAAAAGAGGGTACAAAATCTTTATAAAGACCAATGGAAACGCCCATTTGGTCTCTTCCAAGCTATTTTGAACGAAATGGATGGGTGGAAAAGGAAGGGAATAATTCCAACCATCTGCATGGTTTTTTTTCTTCTTTTTTGGCAACAACTATCGACATGCTTGGACTATGCGGTATACAATGAAATGAATAATAGTTTGATTAAAAAATAGGTTAAAATATACATTTAGTTTTTTAATTTTAAAATTATTAGGCTTAGATTTTGATTTTTTGTAACAATTATAGTTGTTTTAATAATTAAACTTGATATATTCGTATTTGAGAACGTTATCAATATTTAAGATCTTAATGTCATAATTTTGTTAACAATTTTATGGTTAAAGAACTTAATATTAAAAGGACCAAATTAAAACTTTCTATAAAATTAAAGAATTAAATGTATATTTTAGCTAAAAAATATTTGAAAGATGAAAACAGTTTGATATTTATAAATTGTTTTTTTAAAAAGAAAATTTATCAGGATTTAACTTTTGTTGAATTAATATGAGTTATGATAAAAATTGCTTGAGAATTTTTTCACTTAGAACCTTTGGACATTCAAAAATATTTTTGGATTTGATATTGCCGGCAAAGTTTCAAGTCGCAGCAACTTGACTGCTAAAAATATCAACGGTCATGCATTTGTTGATTTTATATAGATGAATATATCATGAACTCGTTTAAAAGGTTGGGTGATCTATGGGGAATTCATCACAACTCATCATCAATTTAATTGTTGAATAAGATATATTTATTTCTGTTGTAACATCTGGTAATCTAAATCGATAGTGCTGCTTGGGATCATATTTAGGATATTTAGTCCTAACAACCGTAAAGAAAATATATAATCTATGACTTATTTAGGGTAGACTTGGATGACAATGAAATGAATTTTGTTATGGTTTTGCTACTTTACCATATCCCCTCATTTTCTTTCTCTTTCTTTTCCCTTCCTTCTTATCCCTTCAAGTTAGATGGTAAAGCAACTAAATGTAAATGAATGGGTGGTGGTAATTAAAAAGCAGAAGTGAAAGAAACTTACCTGAGAGTCCAAACAATCACAATGGAAGCTGCCAATACGGGGATAATAGAAGCTGAAATTTCAAACTTAGAAGTTACATGAGCTTTACTAAAGAAAATGAAGGTGCCAAACTTATTCATCTTCTTTGACTTTTTTGACTTCTAAATTTAATAATAAAAATCACTCCTTTTGTTCTTAATTATAAGACCCAATTGATTAATTTGAGGAGATTAAGGAAAGAAGTTAAGTTAGTTATTTGTAATAAATATGTGTTGTCTTTCCTAAAATATCCTTACTAATCAACTATATTGGCTAGAACTACAATTATTAGAAGGACTATCTTAGAAAAAAAAATGCATAAATATGAGAGACAAAGTGGATTGGGGTCTTATATTTAGAACTAAAATAAAATCAAGCAGAGTTTTATATCAAAGACCGGAGGTAGTAGTACTTAACTTGAGCATGAAGGCCACAAGCATTCATCTTTCCAGGAACTTGTGCTTCCACAAGCATTCACGAGAATCCTGAATTGCTTTATGAGGAATTTCAGACCAGTGAGCTGATCAGAAGAGAACTGGATACATTGGTCATTAAATATAAATTCCTCATAAAGCAATTCAGGATTCTCCTGAATCTTCCTCCTAATTCCGACCATCTAATAAAAAACCTCGTGTCTTCTTGGCAAAACTTAGAAATCTGGAGGACGTCGAATGGAGTTAGTTTGTGCTGTGTCTGAGAAGACGAGTGTTGCAGCGAAGAATGGTAGATGAGGAGTGTAGGAAAGAAGCTCAGACCAGAACAATAAGAAGAGGTTACGATATCAAGTGGAGGAAGTGGACGGATGGAAAAGAAAAGGAAATACTCTGCCAAACTATTTTGATGGATAGGGACGGAAGGACGAGCAAAGTAAATACTGCCAAACCATTTTGATGGAAAGGGATGGGTGGAAGAGCAAAGTAATAGGAATAATTACAATAAAGTCCCAAAAAAAAAAAACAATTGAAAAACAAGTCCAGAAGTTATGATTCTCACTATAAAACTTGTTATTATAAGTTGTTAAAGTTGTTATTAGGACCTTTTGGTAATTATTTTTCTTCTATGAGACTTAATTGTAATTGTCCCAAAATAATAGTCAACCAAACTTATTTTGAAGGATGGAAGAGAGGAGGAGTAGAAAAATAATTCAACTAGCATGATTGCAGCATACAGTATACCATGAAATGAAAAATAGTTTGATAAAAAAAAATTGCATTTAGCATATGAAAATAATGAGTTGATAAGGAAAAAGGAAAAAAAGATAAAATGACTATAATGCCTATAATATGAAAGTGGTGAAATAATTATTTAATTAATCATTCGTTTTGGTAAAAATAAATTTATAAATATTAATCATATGTTAAGCACTTAGATTTTCACATATTCTTCCGGTCTTAACTATAAGACCCATTGTATAGTGTAACTTGCATTACAAAATGAGTCTTATATTTAGAACCGGAAGAATATAACTCCAAATTTGTAATTGTGGTTCTCGTTGTAGCTTTTTAAATTAGTACTTATAGTGAACCGCAAGTTGTACCAACAATAACGCTAAAACATTTGTAGAGATTATTAAAATCTCTCTTTTCTCCTCTTTTTCATTTTGTTAAAATTCATTACACTTTTTTTCCATTAAACCAAACAATGCCTCAGTTTACCCAAACAAAAAAAATCACACCCACGCAATATTTATTACGGATTTTAATAAAAATTACCAAAAGCTTTAAAAAAAAATTTGCACCAAACCAGACAACCTCTAAAATATAGTTATATTTTATTAAAAAAATTTATTATATATTTCAAAAATATAATGAATCATAAAAAATATACCCCATGAATACTGTTACTTATTGTGGATTGGTAGAATCAATAGAGGCATAGGGGATTGTGCTCCACCTGTCCCCCGCTTTGAATCGACCCTTTACAAGTATAACAACAGTCACTTCCAGGAAGTGACCTTATCAAACCAAAGCTTAATATCAGCTCAGTTTGGGCCAGCATGAATTTCCAATGACTATTCAGTTTCATATCAGCACAATGATCCAATAAATCTAGATTCATAGTTCATCATGAGCCATCCCTTGTGCAACTTTTACATGCTGTTGAGTTTTAACAAGATAATTAGTAGCTAATGATGCATGAAGTGAAGCTCCATAAGGAAGAACATCTTCATTGACTCTGAAATTAGGTGAATGCAGAGACTCTAGTGGTCCAAGAGAAGCATCCTCCATTCCAATAAAAAAGAAGTAACCAGGGATAACCTCTTGATAGAATGAGAAGTCCTCAGCTCCCATCATTGGCTTCACCTCGTTAACCTTTTCTTCACCAAGCATGTCACCTGCAACCTGTCGGAAAAGCTCGTGCAATTTTCCGTCATTAACCACCGCCGGGGAGAAGGTATCCTCTGCTTCGAAGAAGTTAACTGTTGCATTGCACCTCTGTACAGCAGCTTGTCCAGTGATAACCTGTGAGAGGCGTATCAGCTTTAACATATGACTGAGGTAGTAATGCAAACCAAGGGATTAAGCTTGTTTGGGGGGGGGGGGGGGGGACAGAGCATATTCTAACTGTCACACCTGCTCAATCCGTTGCCTTAGTTGCATAAAACTTTGTTTTGAAAAGGCGCGGAAGGTGCCACCGATAGTGACAGAATCTGGGATAACATTGAATGCGCCACCACCGTGGAATTTTGCTATGTCACCACCTGTGAGGACAATCTTAACATTAGGCAGAGACAGTATAGTCAATCTAAGCAAAGATAATCCTCGAAGATTTCTATTCATTTCCATCAAATAGAAACTCTTATAAGAGGGATAACGATGATTTCTTGGCATTTGGAGTTCATTTTAAGATAGCTCAGCTACAAAACGCTATGTTGTGGATTCTTTCATATTCACTTCCTCTTGCACTTGCATGATTAAAATCGCATACTACTTGGATGCACTAAAAGTAAAATTCTCACTTCTTATGTCATAGATTTTTTCTGTTCAAGGATACATGAGAGCAGATGCTGTTTTAATTAGTTCACCAACATCCTGCCAAATAGTAACATATCGATCATTTTAAACGTATGGAGAGAACTATATAAATCCATCTACCTTGGAGGTTCTTTTCTATCTGCTTGAGGTTTTGGGGTTTAAAAAGGAGAATAAGGAGTTCTGGAATTTCACCTTACTAATCTTAGATGTTTTAAAATGTGGTACAAACTTATGGATCTTACATGGTTAAGCAGCAAAGTGTAATAAACAAGTGGGGTGGTAATTGAAAAGAAGTGAAAGAAACTTACCTTAGATTCTAAAGGATCGGCCTCACGAGAAACAAGATGCTGTAAGCTAACAATCACATTAGAAGCTGCCAAAATGGGGTCTATAGAATGCTGAGGAAGAGCAGCATGACCTCCCTTTCCACTTATTACTGCTTCAAAGGAGCCACTTCCCGCCATAAGAGGACCAGATCTAGAGCCCACTTCACCTATAAGTATGTTTGGTAGAACATGCATTCCAAAGATAGCAGAGACATTTTCTAAGACTCCAGCATCTATAATTTTCTGAGCCCCTCCATATTTTTCCTCTGCTGGTTGGAAAACAAGAACTACAGTTCCCTATTTAGAGTTTAGAGGTACAAAAAATGAATGGCGTCAGGTATCATTGAGTGGGAGAAAAACAGAACAATAGAAGACTAAGAAGACTTCACATGGCAAGATCAAGTGTAAGAGAAATATCTGTGTTTCAAAAAAAAAAAAACCACAACGTACCTGGATCTCTTTTTCATGCTCTTTGAGGATCTTTGCCGCACCGAGAAGCATAGTTACATGAGCATCATGACCACAAGCATGCATCTTTCCAGGAACTTTACTCTTGTGCTCCCACCCCACCATTTCCTAAAGTCAGGGGTAACCAAGAAATTAATCAATATGTTAAGCGGATGGACAAAGTAGTATTTTTGGCATCTCCATGTTACTCACCAAAGGGTTAATATCAGTTTATTATATTCAGAGATTAAAATAAACACTCAGAACATATATACAAACAGTGAGCAATGATGATATTTGATGAGAGGCGAACAAAATTATCTCCTCCCAGTCGGAATCTATGAACTACCATCACTTCAATTCATCTGAAAAGCGAATGATCTTTGGAGAAAAATAAAAGGAGAGAATTTATTATGAAGAATTCAAATATGAAATACCTGAATAGGAAGAGCATCCATATCAGCTCTTAAAGCAACAAAAGGAGGTCGACCGGTGCCTATATAGCCAATAACACCGGTGACTGCAACAGGGTATTTATATGATACGCCCAATGTATCAAGTTCTCGTCTGATCAGCTCACTCGTCTGAAATTCCTCACGACTCAATTCAGGATTTTCGTGTATCTTCCTTCTGATTCCGACCATCCAATCAAAAACCTCAGGCTTCCTGGCAAAATTTAAAAATTCGGAGGACGACGAAAAGAGCTTGTTTGGTGAGCTCAAAGAAGGGTCCGAGGAGATGAGGGTTGCAATAAAGAAATGGTAGACGATGATCATACTGAACCGCCAGAAGAAACCCATGATCGCTTTGCGAGTGAAGAGTAGGGGGAAAGAAGTTCAGACCAGAGCAACCAAAAGAGGGCGCCAAATCAGTACTTTCTTTTCCCCCAATAATCAAGGAACAGAAGGATCAAAGATGAACGCGATGAAGTGAGGTAGCTTATTGGGGTTCTAAATAGTGAACTAGATACTATGAATGGGAGTGCCAAGTGGCCAAGGGGTTGGATGCAGTGGAATTAAAAACGTGAAAAATATACGAAGTGGCCTCATCCTCGCAGAGGGCACCCTGTCGCATACTAAAGTAAAGACGAAATACTGTCCTCCAGTCAGAAGATAAGGTGGAAAATGCAACCCCAATATTTTGAAAATTATCCTCCAATCAGAAGACAGCATTGAGGAGGCCACCTTAATATTTTAAATATTATCCTCCAATCAGAAGACAGGATTGAATCTGATATTTAAAAAAGTTAAGTTCTTTCTCATATGCATCCAACATCTTAAAATATTTTTTTAAATACGCTTAGCACCGTAAAATATTTTTTGTGCGTCTAAAACCTTAAAAAAAAAAATCTTAGATGCGTCAAGCAACTAAAAATATTGTGTATCAGGGTGCTGGATGTCCCTAAAAAATACTTTAAAGTACTAGATGCATTACAAAATATTTCGAAGTGTTGAATGCACGTTAACAAAAAAAATTTTGTTGGTTCACACGGATTCAGTTATGCCTAATTTTGTGTGTTTTTTTTTAATCAAATAGTTATAGTTATATAATTTTTAATTAAGTCCTTGTATTTTCAAATAACTAATAAAAAATACATAAAGGACTTATTAAAAAGAAAAAATGACCCAAAAAAAAGAGTATTCAAATAAAAAAATTATCAACAATGACCTATGACAATATAAATATAGGTTTTGACAACAATTTTTATGAACGGGTCTTTGTGCGTAACTTTTCTCTTTCAGTGATCTTTTTTTACAATTTTTCCTATTAAAAATTAAGTAAAACTATAAAGATATATAAAAAAAAACTTATTAATAATCTGGTAAAATTATTGAGACCTGCATATTAATTTTTTCTATTTCAAAAATTTAATAATTGTAAGTAAAGTAGGGTGGTGTATTGTATTTGCAATATGAGCAAGTTAATAAGCAAGCTGCATTTTGCTACAAAAAAAAAATAATAAGCAAGCTGCATGTTACTCCTTCCAATATCAAATACTACTTTTAGTATTTAATATAAGAGTTAGTTGAAGAGTTTTATTTGGTTCTAACTAGAAGACCTTAATCAATTTTGTTTTTTATTTTTCTCAAAATATTCCTATTGATAATAAGGAATCCCATCGAAAGATATTCCAATACACATAATTACATAGGATAATTTAAGTAGTTTAACACATTTGTGATAATAACTAAGTTCCTAGCTTCCAGCCTTCTAATGTGATTGTTAGTTTACACCATCTTGTTTCTCGCGATGAGGCCACTCCTTTGAACTCTCTCAAGTGAGTTTCCTTCACTTCTTTTCAATTATAGCTGCTGGCTTTATCATTTATGTTATGAATATTATAATATGTGGATGTCCATACCCTCTTCTTCCTCTTCCTCTTCCTCTCAACTTCATCATCAACTCCCACTACTTCCACTAGGCATTAATTTTCCACTACTCCATTACCTTTCCACTATGCTTTTAATCTTGTAACTCCCCCCACTCATATTCATATGGTTTATTGCCCACTATCTATCATTTAAGTATAAATGTAACTTATGTGTGAGACTATGCCTATAAATAAGGCATGTCATTGTATTGTGAAGTAAGTGAAGCAAGTAAAGGAATACAATATCATTCTCTCATTTTCTTGTCTACTTCTCTTCTCCAATCTACTTTCATTATTGGTTAATTTCATAACACGTTATCAGCACGAGACTCTACCATCAGAATCCATGGCTTCTAGTTGATGCACGTTGAAGTTTTGTTCGTTGAATGAAGATAGTTTGATCCGAACAATTTGGTAAGATTTCTCCAATTTATTTAGAGGAAATGATGGTTTTGCATCTTAACCATATTGATTCATTGGCAACCAATATTTTATTTATCGTATTGAGATATGAAAATTTTTATTTCTTACTTTTCTTATATTTTTATGATCCTACTATCCTTAAGACTTATTGATTTGCTATGATGTTTTTGTTTATCTATAAAATTACTATATATGATTTGTTGGAAATTGTGCCCTAGGGGCCAATCATTATGTTTTGAACATTGTTAATTTATGAGTTTATTAATTACGTTATCATATTATTTGCATGTTTACTGTGATAACTATCCTTGGATAACTCATGGTTTATCCTAAATGTCCCTGGTCGGTCATCTATGTGGGAGCAAAGATGAAATAAGACCAGTATGACTTTAAAGATATATAGAGATATAAATTAAAGTCATAGGCACATGTAAGAGTATAAGGTGTTGGACCGACCCGCTATGAGAGAGCTGCATGGATTAAGTCATAAGCTTCTCTCATATACAAACCATGTCACTGTGCCCTTTGACCTGAGATCATCATGGATTCATACATGAGAAACGCTTAGCTTTGACCTAGTCAAAAGTCACTTTTGACCAAGTGATCATAAAGACTATGTTCAGGCTTAGTGGTTTTTCATGCGTAGGAATGTGAATGGTCAAGATGGAATTTGTCCCTCACATTCGTAGAGAGACATTACTGGGCCCCTCGATGAGTGAGTCTGAGAAATGTATGGCCATACTATAATGGAAAGGTAGTTCCATTTCTATACTCAGACTACTCAGGGATCGAGAAAGTAACGGTCATGGATAGGAGGATGACGTTCTCCATGCCTCATCCATGACCAAAATGTCGTGAGACAAAAGGGACGTGATATGGTTGTATGAAAGGTTGCATCGTTCAATGATCCTCATATGATTTGGGTAGTCGTGATGTCTTGCTAGAGACCGCTTACGACTTGTGGGTCATTATAGTTAATGGCCCACTGCCAACTTCATATGGGCCTACAGGGTCGCACACAAAATAGCCCGACACGAGTTATGATGTCCAGATTCATTGAATCTAAGATATATCCAGATTCAATGAATAATATAGGGTGGACGTGTATATATATATATATATAAATTCGTATATATATATAAAATATAAAAGATATTAATTGTTAGATTTAATTTATAAGGATAAATTAAATATATACAAATTAATTCTGTCATCTCTTTGTTAAATAAATAGGAGAATTAAATCTGTGAGACGGATTTAATTTAAACCATATTTATTTAATTGTTCTCTTATCTGATTAGGCAATATTTGATATTGTATTAATTTCGGAATTAATTTAGAGTTAATTTCGAAATTAAATATTATTAATTAAACCTATATAGCATCCTATATATTGGTATGAGGAGCTAGGGTTTAAAAAAAGAGAGAACCAACAGATAAGAGACGGCCTAAGAGAGGAGAGAGGGCGGATTCCTAAAACCCTAGACGGACATAGGCGCTAGCACGCCGTTCGAGGTTGAGGGCTACTCGTGTGGATACCGGTAGAGGAAGCCGACCGGAGTTGTCGACTTCGAACGACAAAGGAGGCGAGCAGAAGCATCCTGAACGGCCGAATCATCGAGTCACCAGGGAATCGAACGCCTAAAGGTAATGCTTCTTACTACCTGACTTAAACGCGATCGGTAGATCCGGAAAGTGATTGAAAGTTTTAAAATTTCGAGTTGTTTTTCCGCTGCGCGTCGTCTTTCAATTCCCTTCATGATTATCATCTCTGATATTGGTTAATTGTTGTCTTGGAAAGTAGAATGTTAAACATATAAATGAATGGCTAATAGCCATTATATTCTTGATTTTGTGATTAGATGGCCAGAAGCCACATCACGTTTTGATGATTATTTGATAACAGACTATCTTGTGGTAGTAACAGATGGCATGACAAGACTGTCACAATTTGATAATGTATATCAAAGTCCTGAAGATTGATGGTTAAAAACTCACGATACAAAAGAACTTTGTAGTTCTGAAAATTTTGTTGTAGTCCGGAAGACTAATATTTGAGAAAATTGATGGTGTGCTATTGAAAGCGAAGAATATATTCATAAGAGTGATAAAGAGTATGATCACATTCTATCAGTGGAACTGATAACTAAAAGGATAATAATCTTGGGGCTTGGCTATTGAATCATAATAGCAGAATTAGTAATGGCCCTATGATCAATATGATAAAATTATGAATAAATATTATCATATGACCAGAAGTCATATAGACAAATATGTATCAATTCATTGAAAAGCAAATGTTAAGAAAAAATGGTTGTGGAATCAAAAAAACCATGTGATATTATGAAAATATCGAAGCTAATTTTAATGCCTGAAGGCAGTAAGTTGTAAAGAAATATAGATATCCAAAGTATATATAAAAATAGAAAACATATAAGTATATGCCTAGAAGGCTATATGTATAATGTTTAATTTCTATCAGTCTTTAAATTTATCATGATTTGTGATAAACAAATTGTTATAAGAATTTGATATTGTGATATTGATAAATGTGTGATACAAAACTAAATAGATCAAATAGACCCAAAAGTTACTAGTTATATTTTGTTTATTTATATCTTATTTATGTGATCTGATTTAATATTAGTTTTGAACATTTTAAATGTCTATAGTACCTTGATTAATATTGAGAAGTTTTGAACATTAAGTACTTTACTTTTAAAAGTTCATTTTAAATGTTCTTCATCATTTTTGTGTGTTTTCTATGTGTCTTGTAAGTTAAATCTATGATACTCATAATTATTTGTAATTATGTTAATAATATATTGAAATAGAGTTGTCTTTCATATTCCTCTTAAATTATATAGTTCCTGAAGAACTCGATGTAATGGTATTAATATAGTTCCAGAAGAACTAATACTGATTTTTCTTTATGAGCAGACAAAGTATTGATAGTGAAAAATATGATCCATAGATCTACATCGCAACTTTGGTTATCCAAAGAGTGTAAATATTATAGTATAATTGGATTAAAGTCCGTAACTATATATAAACTAGGAAGTACTTGGGCTTCCAAGCAAAAGATAGGTTATTGGCTTTAACCTATTTTATGCTAGCAGCTATTTATGAAATATATGAATAAATGAATCATATTTG